AGCCAACCAACCAACAGCGACGAAATATATGGTAAAAAAAAGCTGCTGGTAGCTGCTGCGTCAGCCCATGCCCAAGTATTCCGTATGCAAATGGAATTACATGCCTACATATTCGGAATATTATCGAATAATAATTAAAATTAAACAATTTGAATTTAGCTCATTAGGAACTTTCGAAAGCCAACTGAAATAAAACGAATGCAAAACGAAATTAACAACAACAACAGCAGCAGCAGCAGCACACACCAAATTCGAATAGCGAATTTCAGCGACAAAAATGCGCGTTGCAAAAGTGTGTTACTCGTGTCTTTTTTTGTACTGTTGTTGTTCCATTTGTTTTGTTACATTTGGTGTGGAGTGTGCCGTCCAAGAAGGAAGCGCACCACAATATGTACATGTTTGGCTCGCATCTGTCTCCGTTGGCTACTCTCTCGTTGAACTCGTCTCCAACCAATCTAGAAGTTAATTCATTCGATTATGTTCAGGTTGTTAATATGCTAATATTAATCTGCTGCTTTTGTGTCTTTGGAATTGTTTGTCGGTCTCTCGGTTTCAGCCAGTCCGGCTGGATGGAATGTGGATTCGATAATAAAATATCATAATAAAACAATAAACAAAGACTAAAATCAAATTTTCAAACATAAAAAATACAGATAGAGGAGGACGATATCATCGGTCGGACGATGTTGTTGTTGTTGATGATGATGATGATGGAAACAGAGAATCAGTCGATTTTAGTTGTTATTTTACATTTTCTTCGTCTTTCTCTGCTTCAGTGTTTCTCATAGCAACTTTCGCTGCTCAAAAAAGGTATATAGGAATTTGTGGTCGGCCTCGAGGCCGAGTCAAAAGTGCATCATATGAGACACATTCAATGCAAATAGTCATTTTAGTTATGTGTTGCATATATAATGCATGTGCATTAGCTCATTTTCACATCAACGTTTCAGCGATCATCATTTTTCAACAAATTAACACCTTTTGAAGCTCAAAATCACGTATTGAAATGCAAGCGTGTGTGTCGCAACTGGCAACAATCAACAAACAATGCAAGTCTTTGTTGCTCCAATCGAAAATGCATTCAACTATTCAAATAGTCCTAATCAAATGACCTTTTTGGTCATTCGTATCATATACGTGTGCTAGCACCGTGTCATCATTAGCTTATGCCACCATCGCAGCCGCTTCTACTCGAAACTGCTATTTTCACGTCATGAGCTGTTTGAATTCACGCAAATGCTTCTGGGAAACAATCTTTTTTTTCTTTTTCTTTTCAAATAAAACGCAAATACGATGAAAGACCTTTTTTATTCAACTGAAATATCAAATGCGTGTTTCATTAACCGATGCATTTTCCCTTTTTTTAATTTCTATCCATTTTTCAATGCCCTCATTTGTTTTTTTTTCTCTATGACTGAAAGTCTGTTATTTATTTGATCGAATCGACACTTTGTTTTCATTTCTATGAAAGGAAACAAAACCGTCGATAGATGAAGTGATGAATACAAAGAAGAAGAAGAAGAAGAAGAAGAAAAAAATTGCGAGAAGTCGCACCTTTCAAAACAATAGAAATTCTTAAAGGAATTAATAAGAAAAGAGAACATCCGAGGAAAGATTTGAATGGTTGAGCCAAACAAAAAGTAATTAACAAATGGCAACAAACAAATTCGAATTGAAACTTCTATTCTGAGTATCATCGTGAGAGAGAAAGAGAGAGAGATGGCGATAGAGAAATATGGTATCACATGAGATGTAGCAACTAGTTACTTTAAATTGAATTTTACAATTTCAAAACGTGTTCCATTTGGGCCTAAACCATATAACACACACACTCTCCGCCGAGATGTATTGTGCTAATAGATATTATTTATAAATAAGTGTAAATTCTATAGAAAAAAAAGAATAAAAAAACAGGTAAACCAACTATGAGATTGTTCGTTGTTCGTTATTCGTTTGGTTTGGTCGGGCTTTTTTCTGCCTCTGTCGCACACACAAACACACACTCTCTCTCTCTCTCTCTCCCTCTGTTCTCGCTTCTCTCTTTGGAATATTTTATTAAAGTCGGTTCTCGTGTTTCGCTGTGCGAAACTTTATTGCAACTCTGCAAAACTATCTAAAAAAGTTTTCTGGTTTTAATTCTTTTCAGCAAGTTGATTTCATGAAAATTTACAAATGACCACATCACATCGTCAAAGCGTTTGTCATCAGACAAGCTATCTATAAAATGAATTTATGCGCGGCAGCCAGTATCCTCGATTTGGTTTGTTGGGAGGATATTAGCGGTGAACAGCAACAACAACGAGAAGAACTGAAAAAGACACACTGAGAGAAGAGATAGAGAGAAAATAAGTGAGTTCGATGCACGTCCGGAACTACAAGACTTTGTTTCCACACCAAAGTGAATCAGAGATACCAAACAAACAAAACAAACAATCGCTCCAATTTCATGCATTTCTATGAAAAATTCTCAAATGAAATTCTCGAACAAGTTTTTTTTTCTTCTTCTGTACAATGGTGAAAAATGCTTTTTACATGTTCATATTATTATGGAGAAAAGAGATAGACGAGCGAGAAGAAGAAGGAGAAAAAAAGCTGTGGCTCATGACCTTATAAAGATTAGGGCGAGAAACTGCGACATTGTTCAGTCAAATAGAAATTGGATAAAAAAAAGACACTGAAAGAGAGGGAGAGAGAGAGAGAGCGAAAAAAGGAACGAAGGTAGCAGCACCCAAAAAAAACAGCTGTTACATGCACAAGTAGTAATAACAATAAGAGAAAATTCCAGTTTCACATTCTATAGAATATATTTACAGCTTCTAAGAATTATACAGGTTTAAGCGATGATTTTTACAACGAAAGAATTGCCTAAAGAGACGAAGAATTGAGTTTTGTTTGCTGAGCGCGTTGATTTTTCTCCATTCTCTCTCTCTTTATTTCCCTCTCCATCTCCATTTTACAGTGTCGTTGTATATCTATAAACCAATCCTCAAAGTCCTGTTCCATGAATGCAATATAAGCTGAACAGACTGTAAAAGGAATGAAACAAGACAAAAAGCATTGGCGAAAAACGGCAAAAACAACAATAGTAATAATAACAACAGTCACAGCATATACAAACTGCTTGTTGGCTGACTAGCTAGCTGGGTGGAAAAATTTTTTTTTTTGGGGAGTTTCTTTGTTCATTGTTTGAGTTTAGTGCTCATTGCTGTTTGCATTTTCGACCTTTTCCCCATAAAAATAATAATTATCACATTGACAGCGTCGATTCGACACACTTGGATTCGCTGAAAAAAAGGCACACATACACATGCACATACAGAACTGAAATGACGCGAAACAAAAACAATCATAAAAGTAAGTAAATTCTTCAATCCAGGAAGCAGCTCATTGCAACACGATTCTCTTTGTTTCAAAAAGAGCTGAAGGAGACAGAGACACACAGATACTCACATACACATAAGAATAAGAATACGAAAAAAAACAGCACATACAAAACTTAAAGAAAAATTCATAGAACAACGAATTTTGCACAATCTTTCTCATTTTCAGTTTGTTTATTGTCACTCGTTTCGCATTGTCTATCGTTTTGAATAGAGTTCAGTCGAAAAATGTTTCGAACGAGCAGTTTTTGATGTGCAGCAGCAGCAGTAATAAACGACAACAGAATCTAAACAGAAACATTTCTTGCTTTTTTCCACTTTCAAAATGATGTCGGTTCATATGACTTTTCTGTACAATGCTTTTTTTCGGGGTTTTCTTCTCGCTGCCGTTTTTTTTATGTCGATAATATTGTTTACCGAGTTCAGAGAAAAGCGATTCATAGCCGCATGAAGGAGAAAAAAAATGAAACAAAACAAAGCGAAAAAAAAATTGTTTGAACCAACAGAAATGACATGGAATGAATTCAGAATTAATGCCAAATAGAGAAAAAGAATCAACCAGCAGATTTCAAATCGATATACGATGCGTTAAGAATGAAGGGGGAAGCGGCACAAAACCAATTAGGTTCATCGAAATAAATAGTTTTGTCCGTGACGTTAATATTCGTATTATACATTTTTTTTCCTCTCTGTCTCTCGATTTATCGTGTCTATGGTGCGTTGTGATCGGCACACATATACACACACACACACACACACACATAATAAATGCTTGAATGAAAATTTGAAACCGTAATTTCATACGACATTGCCGATGCGAAATGGCGTGAATAACAAAGAAAAAAAATAGTATTAATAATAACATAAGCATATATACACATTTATTATATCCACCGCTCTTAACCAAACACATCCACTGAATAAATAGATGAATTGAATTGTACGAATAAGTCACATTAATTAAATAAAAACTAGATGAAACGATTCTGGGCACGATTCAATCAAATTGAATCATTGTGTTTTCGAAATTTGGCAGTAAAAGTCCCTGCAGACAAATAACAAGAGCTCTAGCTGCAGTTGGCTGTGTGCATGTCATTCGTCCGATATATTATAGATAGTATATGTAGTATATTCTTCCGGAAATACACAATCGTCGACGTCAAAACCTGACTCGCTTATTTCGGCACAACACGAATTGAATGAATGTTTGCATATCTAATTCGGGACGTTCTTACAATTTATTTTTTTTTTACATTTCATATATGTTTTGATTTCGTTGCGCGCTCGTTTCACTTTGACAATGATGAAGAATAGTCGAGTGTGTGGCACATCATACAGCATCTGCATGCTTTGCAAACACACAAAATCAAACGGGCACGAATATGAGTTTACAGCCACTGAATGAATTGAATATACATCGAAGGCGATGATGCCCGTTGCTCAAAATCATACATGCAAAACATGGTGTGCTTCACTCAAACTAACAATCACGTTCGAATCGTGTTTTGTTTTTGTTATTTTGACGAACAAACGAACGAACGACCAACCGAATGAAATGACTTGCATCACCCCCTGATCAGCTGATCATATACTATTTCATTTATTTTTAATTCAATAACTATTCAAATGCACTTTCGAAATGCACTTCAGTTTATTCCGTCTCTTTGCTTAATTTAATCGCATTCGAAATATGCAGCGTGTGTGAGAAGAGTCTGTGATAATTTCAAACCCACTCGATATCAAAGCTGGATTATATTTCATTTTCCTTCGCATACACATACACACTTACGGTTGTAATTACGAAAACTTAAAAGAGCTCGTTCAATTAGGTTTGGGTAAGTTTAAAATTGGTTCATGTTCGTATTGGCATTTTGGAGATATGGAAGCTTTGTTTGAAAATAAGAGAAAAAAAGCAATAAATAAATAAACTGTTGCGTCTCGAAATTTCAAATATATGTTTCGATTCACTTACAGAACAGGACGAAGCGAAACGAAACGACATCGCTTATATCAAACAAAATATAAGTTATACAGATGTGAAGGTTGTCCTTGAATGCAACGCAACCGCTTAATAAATTGAGTTTATTGGACCCGTGTGATCGAAAAAAAGAGAGAAAGAATCATGTTCAAGAAAGTCGCTCACATTTTCACCGAATACAAAATACTACGCGGGATGGTATCGTATGCAGTACTGTGGCCGGTCGGTGGGTAGCATCTAATAACAATAGAAGTTATTTGTTTTTATTGTCGCTCGCTTCTTCTTCTTCATTTTCAGGTAGTTTGATCGAACAGACGTTGGTGGAAAAACGCAACTGGCAAACATACAATTGGAATAAGTGTTTGAGGTGCTAATTCGTTGCTACTGTTGTTGCTGTAGCTTCTACTTGAATTTTTTCCCTCCACCTTCATCTCTGTTCATTTCTCGTGACTATGAAAATTCAATACTTTAATCGCTATGGTTAACTGATCCGTGATTTCCATTGGTTACTTTCTTTTTTGCTTGCATAGATTTGGCTTATATGGAGCCTGCATAATGGGTCCGGTCATGTATGTATGGTTGATTTACTGGTCAAATCGTGTTTCTTCTGCGATGTTGCTGGTGGTGGTGGTCTATTCGATCTATTAATTCCCATATTCATTTAATAATTCTAGGTACGTATGGGTTCGAACCGCAGCTCGCATTTGGCCACGATCGGATTTTCGGTCATCGCTGTCAAAAGCAATCACCGAGCAATTTACAGTGGATCCCACGTTAATATGCACGTTTTTGTTTGTGATGTCGTTGCTTGAGCAAAAAACAATTGCCGAAGCCAACGCCGAAGTGAGTCATCATCATAATCATCTGCACAATTCGATTGTTTCATTCTCTATCGCTCTCTCTCTCTCTCTCTGCCTCTGTCGTCTTTTTTTCATGTTATGTGCAATTTTAATTTGATTCAAGCCAAATTCTGTCTCACAGGTTCGCGGTAAATTCGTCGACACATACAAAGTTGGAGCAATATATTGGCCGACTGTGCAAACGGTATAATTGTTGTCTACGTATATGCTGATTACGTAGCATCTAACAACAATAAAAGATATTTGTTTTTATTGTCGCTCGTTTCTTCTTCTTCTTTTTTATTTTCAGATCAATTTTACATTCGTACCGCTTCATAACCAAGTCGTTTGCACGAGTTTTTTCAGTATGATATGGAGCGCATTCTTGGCATACGAAAAGCATTTGAAACGGAAACAGCAAACAAGCGAATAGTGGACAATAGCGCGCAATTCAATGTGTGATTCAATAGGGTTCAGAATGTGTCTTTGGGACGTGGACATAATTAGAAATTAATTAGCAGAGAGCGAATAATTAAAGCTGAAACTTCAAACAACGTTGCTGCCATTCATTATTATGTCGATATCGATAATTAGGGGCAATTGACGTCGACGTCGACAATGACGAGTGGGGGGCAACTATTCATCGCTTCTCTTTAAATTTGTTTTTTGTTCTTCTTTTTTGTCCCGTAAATTTAATTGTATTTTATTGCCAGGCGATCAAAAACACTAAAAAAATAATTCATAAAAAAATTCGTTTATTTATTTATCATAATTTTCTTCTTTTGCATGTGTCTCCTGCAGCTCTCGATATAGATACCACTTTGTCGACTATTTTGAAAATTATAATAAATGATTCTTATTCCAAGGTTCACGAACAAAAAAATACCGATTTTTACCGCGCGATGAGAAACTCATTTGGTAAAAAACTATTTTCGATTATTATTATTTGATTACCAGTCCCTGCAGCTAAGCGACTAATGCTACATTAATTTAATGATTCATCGAAAAATGCTTACCGTCTATCTAATCGGATTTTGGGGTAATCACTATAAAGTCACAACATTATTCTCTCTGTTGTTGTTGCTTTTCTTTTCTCTTCTCTACTTTTGTCTTGTTCTCGTGAGTTCGGTTTTGTAATTTTTTGGAAAATTATTTGGTGGAAAGAACGATGCGCGATTTATTGGTTGCATGAATATGGTTGCGTGTGTCGTTTCTTCGACTGGTTGATTCACTTATGTATAATTAAAATCACCAAGAAAAAAGAAACGATCTGAACACTTTTTTTCTTCTTCTTCTTTTTCTTATTCTTCATAAATCAATCTATAGACATCAATTCACAACGGCAGTAATAAATGTGAAGCACTTCGATTTGGTGCTCTCAGAGTTCACCTGTTATCTTTCTGTCTTTGTCTCGCTATCGTATATTATGCATATCGTGTTACATGGTAGGTTTTTTTTCTCTCGTTTTCTTCTTTTTTATTTTGTTTTAATTCTATCTTTCTGGTTTTGTACGGTTCGCATACGTTCTTTCCACATACGACGGGCTAAATGGTACGTCGATTGACATAGCTATCAACTATGTACTGTGTATACATATATTATAATAGATTTTCATTGGCATACAATTCTTCGAAAACTAATTTTTGAATCTTCATTCTTAAGCGTAATTTTTGGATTGGACTTAGTTCGGCCATAAATGGCTGCAAACTTAACAAAAAATGATAATCATCGTTCATAATTCGGTCACCGATTTCTGATGCGTCACCCACCGTCAACAAATCCATTGGCGTTGAGCTGAGAATTCGCTTTTTGGAATTGGTTTGCGCCTCCGGTGACTGCAACAAATTGGCCACCACACTTTCTGGTGTCGGCGATTCGGAGTTTTTTCGCTTGTGCTGGTTTTTTTTGGTAACATCAAATGCTTCCTGTTTGATGGATTGCACCTCTTGTACATCCGCTCCGCGTTCGATTACATTATAGTCGGCGGTAACATATGAATATGAATCGTATACGTCGAGTTTTTGAGCTGCATCCATTGATTTGGAATTTCGGGAACGCATGTGATCGGCTGCAAATAGGAGAGTGAGATAGAGAGAAATGAATAAGCAAATTAAGAAATTTATCAATTCATATTTCATTTCGTTCAACCAATAAAATCGGTAAATCAATTTCAATTACACGACGACAGCGACGACGAGGGGTGGAACTGTATTCAACTTAAACGAACGAACGAACGAGCGAGCGAGCGAGCGAAACAAATGAAAACGCGCGCTATGCTCTTTTGCTCCGCTTAACGCATATGAAAATGAGCTGTCGCTCGTTATTTCCTGTGATAAGTCTGCCGATGTAAACGTACAAACAGACTCTCTATCGCACTAGCACACAGACACAGACACGTGCAATGCACAAAGGAAAAGAGATAGAGGAACAGAGAGCAAGAAAGACGACTGACACAGAAGCGCTCGCTGTTCGGCTACGCAATACCGTCGCTTTGTGGCTCTTGTGTGTAGCACACACATTTTCACTTTGTGTCGATGTGTGTCTCTGTGTGTACGGCTGTATCGGTTTTTGAACGGTGTTTCGTATATTGTTGTTTTTTACACATTGCATTCGAGCCATGGCACATGGCTTTACGCTTTGCTTCTCATCTCCTTACGAAACACCATACAAATGTGATTAAATCGGTGCCGAAGCGAATCACACAAGCGCATTAGTCGTTCAAATTGAAAAAAAAAACATTGCGAGCAAATGGAGAAAATGAGATTTTTTTTCCTTCTTGTTGAACGAAATACAACAGAAAGATCCCAGAAAAAAAGGTACCCAAAATGTGAATGAGAAACGGAAGTGATTTGAGTCAAGTTCAAAATAATGTTTTGACTCTGAAACAAGTACGTACCTAAGAACAAAAGAGATCGATAGTGTGTCCATTTTGATTCGAAATCTTCAGGCTGAATTAGCGGGTCGCCGGCGTCATTACGTGGAATGCGCTTAATTTCAACACGAAACATGTCTCTCAGGCCCTTCCATTTGGCTTTCAACACAGGAACTAATCGAATGAATTAATAAACAAAACAAAACGGCGGAAGAAAAAAAATACAAGTAATTAGTGGTGTTGTCTCCGCATTGACAGATGCACTCTATGCGCTGCATATATATGCACATGCATTCATATTGCAAATACAATATTTAAATGTAAATAGTTTTCAATTGGGTCTTACTTGAAGCGCCAAATGTCTTTGACAGACTGTCCCACGTTGATTCGGTGAGCGATTTGTTGCTTCCACAGTTTCGATTCCATATAATTGGCTTGTTATAGATGTCTACGATGAATTTCTCGGTGTCGATGCCTGACATTCTGATCGTCTCGCGTACTTTATGTGTGTGTGTGTGTATGTTGTGTATGCCAATCACCGATGGCATATGAGTAATATAGATGCGTCAAGTGTAAAATGTAAGTATGCGAAGCTAGGCGACAAAAATTCAATTTAGACCAAAACGACGGACCAGACAAAGGAATCTACAAACAATCGAAAAACGAGCAAAAAAAAACAACAACGACAACAACAACAACAAGAGCAACAGAACCACTGAGGAACGGGAAAAAGTACGGTGCGATATTTTGCAAAAAGCGTTTGCATGTGCAAGCGATTCTCGCTATACTAAACTCAGAATCGTTTTGGTGTATTCTAAATGGTACTCTCGGTGATCAGAGCAGTCGGAGCGAATATAGCTGTGAATGCGGCACAGGCACACGAAATTGTAGCTGGTATTTTGTGCATTATTTTTTTTCTTTCTTTTCGTGTGTGTTTTTTTTTCTCTCTGCTCCTTTTTTGCTCCTACATTTTGCTGTGGCGAATACCAATCGCTTTTGAACATTGTAAAATCGCCCGCTTCTCGTTCACCCATACACACATGGCATTTGCATTGGCATCGTCAGCGTCGACATCGGTCGCAAACTAGCTAGCAGCTTCATTCTGCCAAAGCGGCACACACTAGCAGCTAAAAAGTGTCTGCTTTGCTGATGTCGTATCGGCATTTTCTTCTTTCTTTACCTCGAAAATCGGAATGGAAAGAAAGAGAAGAAATGGTAAACGGGCAACCGACGACGATGACGACGACGAGAACGACGACGACGGCGGCGAAGGCAATGGCAGTGGCAACAAGCAACACCAACAAAACAACGAAAAAAACAGCAAAAACAGCATCAGCTCGACATCGAGTGTCTAATGTGAAGCGAACTCGAAACCAAAACAAAATGAACAGAAAGAACGAAAATAAAAGGCAGAAAAAAGAAAAAAAACAACAACAGAAAATAAAAATAAGAACGAAAAAGCAGGCATGAAGATTATTATTTTCGCTTTCGGCTTGTTTTGCATTTTTCTGCGACTGCATAGTGCACACAGCAAGGCATACACACACTAAACGCACAAATAACACCCATATATATACACATAGAGCCTGTTTCACCGAAAAGAGACAGCTCCTCGTATAAAATTGTATGGCCATAAAAATACATTCTAAGCGAGCAGACGGAGCAAGAGCGAGAGCGTTTGCGAGTGAGAATGAAATTTCAGTTCGCATTCGCTTTTGGATGTGCTGTTTTTGCTGCTACTGCTGCTGCTGCTGCTGCTACTATATGCTCGGTTGCTGTATGTGCGTGCATTTGAAGAGTTTGCAGAGCCCACCGAGAGAGAGAGAGAGAATTATAATGCGTGACGCTTTGTCCTATATCGATTTGGTTTTTGTTTTTGTCGAATTGCTTTTTATCATTTTTACCGAAGAGCGCGCACGATATAAACGGCTGAGTATAATGTGTCGATGTTGACAACAAAAGCAACAGCAGAAGCAGAAGCAACACTGACGAGCCAACATGTGCACGTAGAGCGACGATATAAAACAGTATTATGATTTCATGTGAACTGTTTGAACCCGTAGCTACTGCATTAAGCGGATAATTCGTTTTGTGAATACAAACCTACACCAGACATATTTATGCTGTTGGCCATGCCATGCCATGCAATCTGCTGTAAGCAACGCACTCGCACCGGATTTACGAAAAAGGAATCCCAAATATGTATACATATAATACCGACTATTTTGTCTATTCTATTCTATGTCTCTCGCTCCCTTTTCTCGGTGTTTTATTAAAATAAAACATATCCTTTGTAATTACCTCCAGCCACTGTGTGCTGCTGCTGCAAAGAATCCAAAATTAATCGTTAACGACGTGGCATTGCGTGCTTTTTGATATTAAATTTGGTGGCAAACTCATACCGTACTCGGGAGCCCATCACATTATCAATCGGTCGAAGCAGGCCGAGACAATTCAAGCCAAGCCAAACCAAACCAAGCAAAACTTCACCAAAACCGGATTCAAGCGAGAGATGAGAAGGCCGAACACAAATCCGCACAAGAAAGAAACAAACCGAAACAATTAACAACAAACATCAAATTAGTTTTTGACACATTGACCCAATTTCAATATCCATAAAAATAATTGAAACAAAATATCGCAATCGAGTTCTGATGTCACAATTTGATAAACCGATATTTTTTGAATAGAGCCCGCCTGCCTTACACACTATTCTAGTTCCATTTTGGGCCGAAACGATCTAGCGTTTCGGGTGTACGACAATATTTAGGCTCGGCTTATTTATGAGTGCTACAGCTCTTGAGACTAAAGCGCATAGCTACTAGGTGTTCCGAGATAAGCTCCCGCCTAGGCTCCCGCTTCTCATTTCGAACGATGGGCTAATTTGGATGATAGAATTTTTGCATGTCCCTCGTGAAAGAGAAGTAATTTCAGTGTTTTCCCATTGAATAGCTACAACCGAAATAAACAAAACAAGAAATAGCTCATATCGCTAGGCCAATTTTTTTTAGATTTATAATTATAATTAGATTTTAGCATTTTCCCCTTGAATAATGAACACATGGAAAATACCTTCATTTACCATAAATACAGTAATCTTCCGACACGCATGTTCAACGCTAATGCAATTTCATTGTACGGGACAAAATATGGTACAACGCACACACACATACATAACAACAATAACGAAGAGAAGAGAGAGAGAGAAACGACATCTATTAACTTCCGTCTGGGCAATAGACTATTGCTAAAAATGTAATCGTTTTCGAAATTGATGAATTATATAAAACCGGTTTCCACTGAGTAAATGCTACAATTTTTTTTTGTTTCTGTTCAATTTAGCCGTTCGTTCGTTCGTTTGTTCAGTTAGATATTTGACCGAGCCCAATTGAAGAGACGGAGACAATTGAGGAGACGGAAACGGCAACGCTTTTTCAAGTTAATGCAAATATAATTCGAATTTAAGTATTTCGCTTTTAAATTGTTGGTAAATGAGTTATGGAAATAATGTGCAATGAAACACGCATTTAGATGGTCCCTTTGCACAGGGCCACAAACGCACAACTACACACAGACAATGGCATACATATGACGCCGACTATCTATACATATCTGATAACACGGTGGAGAGAATGCATAAAAGTACGGTTCAAGAAGCAGGCGAAAACACAATTGGTCGTCATGAGTATCTACTTTTATGGATTGTTCGTCGCGTATCTGGTTGCGACGCTAACCAACGGGGTAAGAAATTTTACGCTATTTTTTTCTCACTCTCGATGTATTTATATATACCAAACACAGCATAGCCAACACATACGGTACATAGAAGAGACGAAGAGAGAGAGAGAGAGAGAGAGAGTGAGAGGGAGAATAGAGGGATAAAAAAGAGTAGCCAAGTGTTCGGATTACATGCAAATAACCGATAATGTAAATGAGTTTCAAACAACGAATTTATTCCATTTGAACAAATTTCAGGATGAGATTCAAGTCGAAGTGGAAGCCAATGACAACGCTAAACAAAGTTTAGATGAGTTAAGCAAAGAGGTGAACCAGATGAAAGCTGAACTTACGAAAAATAATAATGACGAAATACCGAACGATACCGTAAGTGATGGCGATAGCAATGGCAATGGCAATGGCAATAGTCCACACGCTGCTTTGGGTGAAATTGACAAAATCAAAAAAATTGTAGAAATCCTGGAAACTATCGTTGTGCCCACTATCGTTAATCGTCAAAATGCTCAGGAACAATTTCAAAAAAAGAACGATGCTGACCCATCGGCTGTTTCTTCATCAGGCCCAATAACAATTCTACCAAAGGGCTTTAAATTACTACAACATCATACGATCACATCCGATGAAGGTAGCCCAGCAGCAGCAGCAGCCACAGCGACATACCAAAAACCTAATCCACAATCCGATGGCAATTGATATCACTTCAAATGTGCACCATTTAAAATGATTTACCCTCACACGCCTCAATGAGCTTCAATAAATCAAAACAAATTTCATGTAATAATGCATAGAAAACAGTGTCTCGTTCTCTCTCTCTGCTTTAACACTTCCCCTATTTTTATCGCTCTGTTCAAAATGCCAGCGGAGTGCTGATGACATCTGTTGGTTCAGTTTGCAATCTCGCTCGGTCGAAGCTAACGGAATGTCGGTAAACTTTCTGTATTTGACGACCTCTATTGCGTATTTGATTGAGATATTTTACTTCTGCTAATGTTTTTGCTTTGATTTTGCCTTATTGCCCCGATATTGCCTCATAAAAATCTTCTTTAATTTTTGAACAAATGCTCGATGATTCAATGTTCAATTACTTCAAGTGAAGTAATCCAAAGAAAATTTCAACCAATTTTCAATTCAACTGTATCAGCAGTTTTAACATTGTCGGACTAATAAGACTTTGACAGGTTGTCGTACATAACCTCAGAAAGAGCATATCATGCGTGTGACACAATGCAAGTATGTGAGTGCGCCTTCAAGACCAATTGTCAGACGAATATTCAAAGTGCTATCAATATCGCCTGTGTCGTTTGTTTATTCGTTTGTTATCATCAAAATCATTACAATAATTCCAACACATTTTGCATGAAAACGCCCAATCAGTCTACGGAAGAAGCGGTTTTCGCAACGGATTTTCGGGCAGATTCCCGAAAATAATGGTACACGCAGAAGTGATACGGAAATTTTGCACATTGGTATGTGCGAAAACTATACAAACAATTGATGGCAATTCGAAAAGTGAGATTTATGATATATTACCATTTTTTCTATTTCACAGTAACGTCTAGATCAAATCCACAAGTGGTCGTGCCCAAATCTAAACCCAAAAATCAAACGATATTAATTACAGTCGATTGTTTTTGCGCGTCAATTTTGAGGTAATTCATAGTAGCTCATTGGTTTTGCACCATCCATTTTTTCAAAGTCATTTCTTTTCCAATAGAAAATTTCATTGGAAACAACGCCACCATGCCAGCCGATATAGCATACGAAAGCGGTGATGTGACCCGCAAATATTCAACAAAATCACGCGAACAAATCGAAAGTTTCATCGAAGAAGTTCTTCGTAAAGAGCTGAAGACGTATGAAGACTATATCAACAAATTGAATGGCGAAATCATGGAGTTTGTCCAATTGAAAAATCTGTCGGAGAGTATTTCCCAAAATTTATCCGATGGTTTTAAGACACAAGTGAATATCGGTGGTAATTTTTTCATGTCAGCCAAAGTGCCCGATTCCAGTAAGATTATGGTCAATGTTGGTCTCAATCATTACGTTGAATTTACAATTGATGAAGCCATTAAATTCTGTGATTTCAAAGTGAAATCACTGCAAAACGAAGCGGACGTCATACGAGAGAAAAGCATTGAAACACGGGCACACATCAAATTGGCACTGCTTTGCATCGCAGAAAAAGAGAATTTGCTTAAGGCTGACACATGAACGTGTATGCGCTCGCGATCATCTTGAATCAAAACCACAATTACTTGTACCGATCCGATACACGTGCTAGCGATTACGCTTCAAAAGACTCAAAATCGAAACCAAAACATCTAACGCAAATGGTTACACAAACAAACACACACTTGTTAATTCTTAGGGAATAAGTAATGTCAAATAAACACAAACTATTTTTACTACAAATGCCATTACTACTTTAGCTATGCTGACACGTTTCCATTTAATTTACTTTGGACGGTTCAGAAAATACCACCTTTGTATGTAGAATTTTTGCAAATCAATGGTCTAAGAAACAAGAACACGAAGAATTTTCCGTTTTTTTTTCATCCAAAAATGAAATATCTTCAAAATAAAGTTTTTTTTTTGATGAATCACATTACGTGTAAAGGGACAAAAATTACAAATGATCTGAGTACAATAATAAGTTGAATTATGAATAAAATAAAATCAAATAATGAATTTGTATCCTCAAAGATGTAATAATTGATTCCAAATTACAAACGATTCGAAATGGCATACAGATTCTGTTTGTTTTTGAATAAATGCATTTGAATAGATTTATTTCAATTAGATTCAATTTCGAACTAAGCACTCCATCTATAGATCCATAAATGTGTATAAATAGAAACAAGATAACCAAGAGGTGAGGGTAGGGTGTAGTTGCAATGTATCTTAATGATGCATTCAAGGTTGTTGCATTAAATGTTGGTCGAATCAGTGAGTGTGCTTGTGACGTGATACTCGAATCGACGTACATTCTCGATAACGAGCATTACCAGTACACAAATTTAAATGATGATGATGATTACATTTGCATCCGAAATAATACAGGTTTTGTATTCAACTTTCAACCCTTCGATCGAGCAGGTGCTTCATCATTTATGATAACGTCTGGGCAGCAGCAGTAGCAGCAAATATTTGCTCAGTTCGATATTCAGTGCAAAAGTTCAAGGGAGAGAAAGAGAAAGAGAGACCCAAACCGAAATACAAACCCCGAAAAATGAAATGGAAATGCAGATGAAACGGTTTGTCACAAAAAGCAGAAAATCGTAATTATTTTTATTCGGAACTTCTGAAACATTTAAGGTACTGAAGTTAATTACAATTCGAAATATATCAATTAAAGAGCTACTTTTCACAATAAATTGTTATTATTTTATTTAAATACATTGACGTCAAAGTTGTATGAAATATTTTAATTATTTTTTTGTTCTCGTGTGTATGTGTGTATGTGTGTGTGTGGGGGGGGTTTTGTTTTGAATAAACATCAAATTTGTATTAGAGAATTAGAGTTAGTTCAATGCGAATAATAATGCAGGTGTCTGTTTAGTCTGGTTGTTTATTTTTTTTTTTAATTTACATGAAGATCTAATAAATTCGTTGATTTCTATTGGTGTGAATCCATTTTCTGTCAATGGTTTCAATCTGGGCGGTGAACTATCATTTATTTATCGCTCGTTATTACTCATTTAACTTACTTAATTGGATATTTTTTTTTATCTTCTCTTCGTTTTGTTTGAGTTGAAGGAGTCCAAATTTATTCCACCAGAAAATAAAAAGAAATTAAAACGGAATTTCACTCATAAACTGGATCGATATTTTGCTTTTCCATATGAATGAATGGTTTTGTGCATCGAAATCTTATTGAAATGAACAAAACGAATCGAATAAAAAATCTCAAGTCTCATCAAAGTCAAATGAGCCTCTTATTGAGGACTGGATCTTTTTGTGTTGTTTTCAGCATCGAATCTTCGCATTTCATTCATAATGTAAATTGGTTTTTTTGTTTTAACCGTGTTCTTATTCAACAGTTTCGGTTATCCAATTCGGTTTGATTATAAATCAAATCAGCACAACTTAATAGTAATTATCTTATATCTCGAAAATCAATTCTTCATCCAATTGATAATCATCCTACAAATTCGTTCAATGATTTTATTTGTATTAAAATTAGAGAATTATTTACATTATTCAGACTGGATAATTATTTGTTTGTTTGTGTATGTGTTTTTCTTTTATTCTGTCTCTCTCTCATTATATTTTTTTTCAACAAAGTTCGGAGCAATCCAAGGAAACATACATTTGAATGAGAAATGCATGTGAATATCTGTGTTTGCTTCAGTATTTTGTTGTTGTTGTTGTTGTTGTTGACGTTGCAAATGATTCATTTTCTGTATCAGATTTGCTCAAGCCTGAAATACAAGTAAATTCACTTAAAATATAACATTCGTACAACTTGTACATGCATAAAAAAATGTATTTGTTGTTTCTATTGTGTATAATGCTAAATTAACTACAATTTATATTCCACATAAATAGCTAGTAAATTCGTTGATTTAATTTTTTTGGTAGTACCTTTAATCTTAAGTGTGTGTTTGTGTTGTGGGTGTGTGTTTGTGTGTGTGTATATATGTTTTGAATTATTTGTGTGTCTCTTGATATTTGAATAAATCTAGATACATTGACTTTATTTTAAAGGTATGCCGAAGTACATTTATTATTAATTAGATGTGACCATTGGCTTATTTGCTTCGTTCATATTTCCTCCTTTCTTTTTATTTTTCCGTCGTTATTGTTGCTGCAGTTGTTGATGATGATGCACCGATAAACAAATAAAATAGAGGATTTGAGTTCAATGTTTGGCAAGGATTTTATCCGAACCTGTATGTCGAATCGCTTTAGCGTATTCATTACGGTTTATGATTGATTTTATATTATTAGCACCATTGAACGCAATTCCCATTTAAAGACAAACATCGAGAAAATTTAGCATTCGATCATTTCTACACTATGTGTAATCCTTTACAACCTTCTTGAATCAGACATTTGATCAGAATGTCAAAATGATTATTCATTTTCCTATGCTGTGTTTTATTTAGATGCGTTTTTGTTTTCTCTTTCGGTGCAACTTGTATCTCTGTGTTTCAAACCGGTTTATTGAAAATATTGATGCATAAATGAAAATGCATTTTTGCGACGCCTTTTGAAGAAAGCCTATATTTTGCTATACAACAAGAATAGCTGGTAAAATGTTTGTTCAGAGATTCGTACACGGGATTACTTCAAATTGATTTTTGTTTGTTTTGAAAATATGGTTGACAAATGCATTTGCTCTATGTTATCTTCGTTCGTAAATTCAAATGTAATCATTTTCATATTCAGCGTTTCATCCGTTTAAATCTTATTTAATTCAATTACGAATTTCGTTTAATGAAGAAAAAAAAAACTCGAAATTCAGACCGGCTAGACACATTTAATCCGTTTGCTTCTGAATTGAATAAATAAGACAGAAAACAGATGTAACATTCCTATTCTCTACAAAAAAATGAAAATTTGACTCTTTTGTGTCGTTAAAATTTCTTAATAACTATGCATAATTTCGTTGGTGTCCCAAATTTCAAATTTCGTTTTATTAAATTCTAGCACAAAATCACAATAATTTAGGTTTCTCTTTAAAATAGCAGATCGTTTCATTGTCAAAATTATCGCTTAGAATTTCGATTTTATTTTTCTAATTGTTCCAATTTAAATCGATTTTTTTTGTTTAGTTTCGTATTAAAAATAAGACACGTCGAAGGGAAGAAGAAAATTTTTTGCGACAAAAGCCAAAAACAAAATATTGTCTCATTTGTCCGATTAAGTAACATAAATAAAATGATTATCAAAAATATATATTTATTTTTATCAAAAATTTTGTTTGCCGATTAATTTGTCGTTTTTTTCCAATCGTTTCTAAATATTCGCCGATTAATTTAGCCTCCGCTCTTTAAAAAAAAATGATTAGCAGAGTGTGTTTTTACGTATCCACGTACACTAGTAGTAAATTTTTGGTATTCGTATATTATTAATTTTAGAAGAAAAAAACAGAATTTCAATGAATTTTGGAATCATGATTGAAATATCACTTGTGTGTATTGTTCCAAAATAAGAGAGAAGAAAAAAAAAATTAACGACCCAATTTAAAAATGCATTTGCTGAATTTGTTTTAGAAATAGTTTTTTCTTTGCTTCAATGCCGATATTTTTTTTTTCATGAGTATTTTTTTTGTCGTCCTTGTGATTAGATTTAACATTTAGAACATTTAATGCTTTCACCAATTGGATTCGCCTCGCCGTTCGGTCAAAATGGATCGATCATTCCATTAGAAGTAATTTTGTTTCAAATGTTTGAAATTGTGTGAATTGAAACGCTTTAAGTCATCCTTTCATCCTGAAATTTAATTCTTTCCTTGTTGACTTCTTTTATTTGCTTTTTAATCTGAATTTGAATGGACTTCAATTGAAATCCGGTTGAAATGGTTCACCTATGTACAATCTGAATCGATCGAATACGTTCGTTTTGTTTTTTCTTTCGGTTAGAAAAAATGTACCATTTCTATAGACATAAATAACATCGAAATAAAGAAGCAAAATGGCTGCCTCATACAATTGTCATATGTTAAATTGGTTTATCCACGTAAAGATCAAAAGAGTTTAAATGTGCTGTTGAATTTTATTTGTTCGTAGTTTATTGATAGTGAATGTATTCAAATATTGTTGAACCATTCGGGTTTGTTCAATTCATAGATTTCGTTGTGTGTCTGCATTTGTTTGTGCCTGTTCCCGTATGTATACTTGATTGTTACTGTTGAACATTCTACGTTGCAACAGTATATATATTCAAGCTTTTCTCAAGACTAAATTCAATTCGTTCACTCGTTTGTTTTTATTTTCGATTTTAAATTGGTAGACATCCATTTGAGCTTCTTTTGCTCAAAATGTATTTCAATCACGATTCGATTGATATTTCAATGGAAAGACTGTCGTTTCAAAAAGTCAGTCGACATGAAGCAACGATGAAAATTCGCATCTTAAACTGGAATTTTTCACTCTAATCTTTTTTTTTTATTCAAATCCGTGTGTTTGTGTTTTTAGTGCTGTAATGATGGATTTTGTGCAAAATATTTTCGTTTTTCTATTTGCTTTCCGTTCTTCTGTTTATGAGACAAAACATTCTACAATTTATTCTATGTTTACATATTTAGGATATATTTGGCTATGATAAAATTGTGTGTATTTTTTTCTTCTTCACTGAATCCTGTCACTTAGTTGTTACAAATTGTTTTAATATTTTTTCTGTTTAGATTTTTGTTTGTTTGTTCAATAAATATATGAATTGTTGTTTTTTTTCTGGTTTTATTAGAAAGAAATTTTCGGTTGTTTTCTATGGACGTACATGTAAGAGCCAAAAATATGAATACAAAGTGTATACGAGGAGCACCAGTTTTTTTTTTCTTAAAAGAAAGAGACAATACTTGAATCTCACGTTGAACGAGATCACTTGTTGTTCCCTTAACTCCGTTGATTTTGAACATTTTTGTTGTTGCTGTTTCTGTATATGCACCCGGTTTCATTGGTTTTCATTTCTATATCTTCCATTTCGTTTCATTTATATGACTGTAGAGCCTAACTTTACGATTATATGTTTTTTTTTTGTTTAACGCACTCAAGTCGATTCAATCGAAGCATATACTATGTGATGCACATAGATTGCATTCCGTCCAATTATCTCATCCACTAAACAATTTTAGTTAAAAAGCATGCCAAGGGAAAACAAAAAGAAACAATCAATAACCCTTTGTTGGAAAAAACAGGGTAACAAGAGGAATATCGCTAATCGTTTTTTTTTCTGTTATTTAAATATTAGATTTTAAATTGTATTTTTTCTCTTGTTTTCATTAAAATCATCCCCAATTATTGGTTGGTTCGTAATTACTGTTTATTTTTGAGTTGAAAATAAAAACAGAAAACGTTAGCGAAATTCCCCTAGTATAATAATAATTACATGGGTTAAGAGTGGCGTTGAATAGCGAAGAGTATCATTAAATACTACAAGAAAAGCCAGATTATTGATATTAAATTGTTATGCGTTACACATTGTCGTGGCTGTATACAATTAACGGGTTTAGCCTTCTTTTTAATTACATGTTTCGATTATTTGCTATCGGTTTAATATGACATGATAGTTGTTTCACTTTATTTTGTTTAGTTTAAACAATCTTTTCTTTTTCCCAGGTTCTTTTTTTGTACAATGAAATATGAAACATATATTTTGTGTTCTTAGTTTTTGTTGTTGTTGTTTTATTTTAATTCAACGAAACCATGGAAGTTGGCTGGAGCCTCGGCAAAATACACGTTCGAATACGTCAAAAACTGTAACGAGAACAAAAAATGTGAAGAAAAAAAAATGCGTTAAAATTGACGAAAAGAAAAAAAAGTAACGAAAGCTTAACCTTAATCGTAATTAAACTGAAGAAAAGAGGAAAAAAAAGTGTGGACTTTGATTTTACGGTAAGTCAGATGTTTGCGCATTCCATCTATTGAACGAATGAGCTTTTGTTATGCGAATATTATAATGCACAGCATATCACCGTTTCCCGTCCTGTTCCGTGAGAAACGGCACGGAGAGACAGAAAAATAGAGCGAGAGCAAGAGCAAGTGCAAGAGAGAAAAAGTTGCGACAAAAAAAAGCGCACTCAAAACTTTAGTGCTTCGAACGTCGTATCTCACAATCCTTTCCCATTCTCTCTATGTTTGCTATTCCATTTTTGGCTTCGTAGATTATTTCACAATCTTTGCACATCAATTGCAGGCTGATTCTCGTTGCTCACCGAATCGACGACGGTCACAGCAGCGCGGCAACCGTGCGCGCTTTGTCTGCACGGTGTGCATGTTTATGGTATGTGTGTCGTTGGGCAATTCACAACAATTTTTATGACCGTCATAAAAAAAATTGTTCACCTTTACAGTGTTGATCACTGGCTCTAAGAACATTGCGTCCCAAGAGCTTACTAGTAAACTTAGTTTTGATTGCAATTTGAGCAATATATTCCTTGAATTGCAATCTTTTTTTAATAGTTTCCCGTTTAAAATTGAAACAAGTTTCTTTTTGTTTGTTTCACTCAATTTTCTCTGTCTCTGCCTCTGCCTCACACACACACACACACTCTTGGCAAAATTGATGCGTACACATTCAAATGAACTATAAAATAAAATCCCGATTCTATCGCACCGCCGTATAATATACGTAGATAAAAAATGCATGCGTCTGCTCTCACGTAGAACCCATTCCATTTTGTATTGAAATTTTTGACTAAATCACATCAATCTGTATACATTGCGAGTAGCGAATTGATGATGATTCCTATTCACAGTTTTTTTGTTGGATTTTGTTTCATCATTCATTATTCAGGTGTGTTGCACGCTCTCACTTTAATTGTTGCTCGTACACACACACACACACTTATCGGTTAAGCCGCGTCTTTTGGCGCTCGGCGGGATTTTGATTGTGGATATCTTGTTAGAGACCCAAGATAGTTAGTTGTAAATGTATGCAGTTGTTAAATGGTGCAATTTGATTTCCTTTTTCTTGAATTGTGCCGCTTTTATTGACTATCCCAATAAAAAGAAACATGAGTGTGCAAGAGAGAGGGAGAGCGGAGCTTCGATCAAAATAACAACACATAACTCTAGCTTTAACCCTTAGTTCGGCGTGCGCTGAGTTTCTAGTGTTGTTGAAATGTATATGATTTCAAACTGCGCCTTTAAATTTTCTTTATGTTACGCGATTTTGATATTCAACATCTACAAACTTCACGTCATCATTGAAGTCGTCTTCGTCGTTTTTTCCCTCCTGCTTCTTCTTCTTTCTTTCTTTCTTTTGTACATTTTTTTAAATGTGAATTAGCTATCGTTTGCAATGAGTGAAGACAATGTGAATACAAGCCGTTTATTACTGTCAAGGATTTTATTATTTTTATTCTCATTTCATTCAAATGATGCCCGGATTTTATAGGGTTTCTTTATGTCTTTTTTATCCCCCTTCTTGAAAATACAGAAACATGAATGATTCGAATGCACAGCCATGAGCGAAACGAAGACATGCTCTGCATCCGTCTGCAGTTTTAGTGTGCTAAAATCAAATTATTCCCATTTCGCAATTGGTTTTTTGTTGGCGCAACGACAAACACTATCCATACCTATTCCGTATTTTTAATGTTTTTTTAGTTGCAGAAAAGAAAAGAATCAAAAATTCGATAGCGCTTCCATTCGTTAGATAATCCAATCTATAGCGGTTATTCAAGTGGAAATTAATAATATTCATTGATGTACGCGGTACGCGTGAAATGCACAAATCCTTTCCACAAGCAATTTTATCGACGATTCTGTCTGTCCAAATTCAATTTAATTTAGATTATTCGCAATTGGAATATATTACATATGTATACATCAAAGATGCCGCGACAAAACGAAAAATAAGAACTAAATCATCTGAAATGACGTAATTTAAAATAATAATTTTTTTTTCGCCCGGCACTCAAACTAACTTTGTGCGCAGTTTGATTTATTGTGATGAATTCGGAAAATGACAAATTATTATCATCGTGATTCACTCGTGTAAATCGAACTAAAATTGGTGCACGGAAAAAGATGAGCAAAACAAGAATGCACACTGAAATTATGGAAAAAATTTCCCATTTGATTCGTATCAATTTAATAACGACTGACATTGACTCGGTTCATTTTGTTTTTTCGTATTTGTCACACTATTATGGCTAATAAATCGATTGCATTTCATTGTGAATTATTTGTATTCGAGTATGAGTGCGAGTGTGTTTGGTTCTTTGTTTTTATTTTGTCGTGTCATGCTGTGGATCACTCTCCAGCGCTTATCAGTGTGAAAGCATTAAGAAAAATGTCAGCAATTCACTTGCTAGTATTTATTTATATGCAATGCAATCATTTAGAAATGATACATGGATCGTATTTGTTGTTTTTATTTTATTTTTTATCTCAGTCACTTGCAACAAGCACAAACGAGCACATTTTCCAATCAGCCTAACTGAACACTGAAACTGGACATCATCGATGAAACCATTTAAATGGAAAACAATAGAAATTAAATGGATGGGCATCGTCGTTTTGGGAATGCGGTTCATACTATAGTATATATATGTATGTACGTAAAACCTTTTTTCTACATGCATTCATCGTTTCAACAGGTTGTAGAAAATTGTGCAGCACACTTTTCAAATTTACCCGAATCGGGCACATGGCTAGACGTGATGATGATAATGGAGAGAACCAAAGCAACCAACAGTTGTCAACAAAAATAAGAGCAAATGGAAGAGCATAACGATATTTAATGAAGACTGACAGAATTTTGCCGGACTTGATTGCATTCGACGATTTAACCTTTTGGAATGGGCGATGTGTGGAGAGCATGTGTTATTATAACCTCATTGCACAAATGTTGAATACAATGACATTGCCAACAAATGTGCCGGCAAACGCTTATATTATATTTTAAACAATAAATGAAGGTTAGAGTTTCTGTCCTTTGGATTTTTTCTCCTTGTCTGCATACTTGTTCTTATTTCTTTTCTGTTTCTTTTCGGAATTTCATTGAAAATTTCAAACTGTTTCCATTCTTCTTCTTCCTTTTCCATCAATTTGAACATGACAAATTGCGTATCTAGATGAGAGCCCAGTTAAATTTAACTTCAACTTCGGGCAAACTAGCGCTAGACTGTTGAGTGTTGATAAAAATAAAGAAATATAGTCTATAGCGCCCATATAATGTAATTGCAACTATTCATATTTATTGCTTGAACAAGAGAGCGAGCGAGCAAGAGCTCACATTCTTTTCAACTATAAATTTCGCTTCCTATGCACTCGACGGCTGTTATCAGGCACAAAGCTGATACACACAGCAACCAGTGTGTTAGAGTGGCTCAAATTCAATACTGTTTAGCACATTCGCCGACCTTTGCACGCGATGATAGACGCACATCTAAAATAGATGGAACAAAGTAACAACAGCTCACAACAATTGAAATCAAAACCAAAACAAATAGAGGAAAAAAGGGAGTCGCTTTTTTTCTTTAGGACAACGAAAAAAGTAGAGTGTCGATTTTAATTTCTGGGTTGCAAGGTCTATCACATTTGCGCGATAAGAATCAATCAAGTGGAGAAAAAGAAGTAATGATGATGCAAAAGTATGCAAGTCGGAATTATATGTTCAGGAAAAGAGCTAATTATGTATCAGCGGTCTGATTAATAGAAAATTTATAATGATGAACGGTATGGAAGAAAATTCCCGAGAAAAGTTTTTGATTATCAATTTTTTTTTCCTCATTTGATTGAATATGATCTTACGGGGGAAAAAAGCACATTTATTGGCTCTCGTTACTAGCTGTGTGATTTTTCTGTATAAAGCCATTTCGCGGAATAAAATGACCTACATCAACATTGTTTTGATGTGAAAAAACCGTTTGAATGTGTCAAACTTTGCTTGAAATTTATTCTTTTTTGTCGATTTAATTCGATCGTTTTTTTTTCGTGTGTTCCAAAGAAAGCGAATGATTTCGTCCACATGGCATCGTGATAGCTGTAGGCAATTATTATTGCAACAAACAGTGAAAAATGAACACAATAAATGCATGAAAAGTAGCAACTATATACGCGAGGTCAAAAGTATCAATGCGATAAATAAAATCTTCCCCCAATGGGATGCGTGCCACAATCCGGATTGCAATTATTTTGTCATTTAACCCTTTGATGCACAATTTTTTGTTTTTGGATCATTTTGATATATGTTTTGTGCCACAATAAATAGAGAAAGACCTCATACTTAGATTTTTGGAAAATTGCGTATTTGTCGAGAAAATCGGAAAAGAGTCAAAAGTGTCAAATCGTTATAACAGCCTGAAAAAATTAAATTTTATAAAACTAATGATGCAGAAAGTTAAATTGATGTGTTTTGGTCCTACGAGTCCTAATTTGACAATTGAAAAGAATGAACAAACCCACAAGATAAGGGGAGGAAAAATGTGGAATTCTGCTATAATTTTGCATTTTTTTTTACAGCAGTACATGAACAGAAAAAACTTTCCATTCAGTTAGCCGATTGTAGCCTGTAAAGTATCAAATGAAAGCTATTTCCCTACATTTGATTCCAAACAAGAATGTAAAAATATTCAGTGGTTTCATAGCTATAGCGTCTGGCGTATCTGGTTACTTTAGGAACCGAAATGTGATAAAGGGTTAATGAAAAAAAAAAAATAATGAAGAAGAACATTGAATTGCAGCTTAAAATGGGCACTCGTTCTAGTTTGCGTCATCGTTCTCCACAAATCGACCATTTTAGCCAC